TTGCTTTCTTGTGAATTGAGAAACAGCCTAGGTCTAGATGGCCTTGCTGTCATTAGTCACCCTCGGAGACTCCAACCAGGTTAGAGATGTGCCAAAGCAGGCATCATCCCACCAATGACAGTCTGGATGCTACCAGAGGACTTCCTTTAAAAGTCTTCACTGTTTGATCTGCTATGTAACAGTCCAATCACGGACTACCACTAACCATCTTAGGGGTGTTTAAAAACAAGAGTCAAGAGTATTTCTTAGGTCTAGAAAGTTCTGTAGGTTTTTGATCTTACCCGTAGCCATGGAACACCAGGCCGATAAAGAAGATGATGAAAAGATGATGCGTGTACCAGAACACCTCAAAGTAGGACCTGCGAATGACCTCCATGGACGAGGTGATGATGAGGATGAGAGCCAAGGTGATGGCCACGCCCGTCAGCCCGGCGATGGTGGTGAACATGACGATGGTGGGGTTCTGCAGCAAAGAAGGACGTTTTTACTGTTTTCATAACTCATAATGTCCAGTCAGTTCAAACAACATGGAGGTGGTGGAGCCACAGTTCCTGATTTATTTCTACTGTAACCTTCCTCCTCTTGCCGGTCAGAATTGTTGACTAACTTCCCTCATTTAGCAAACGGAATTATGTCAGGATATAGTTCCTCTTATGTCTTTGATTAGGAGGCCCAGTTAGGTCTATATTCTAGCTTTAACAACCATTAGGTGCAACAAATAAGACTTTATACTCATTTTAGAGACAGAAAAACCCAAAGGAGTTCTACTTTCTGCATGGGAGTTGCTCCCCAGATGACTTAACTAACAGAAATAAGTGAATTATTGTTAAGGTGATGCATGAACTGCTTCTAAAACCATACATTTGTAATAGTTTGTGGTTCAAAAGAGATTGTTTTTACTGAACCATGAGGTGTTTTACTAGAAGACAGCTTCTGCTTCGGGTTTAATGACACCAGAAGGTTGAAGTTTGAAGGCAAGGATTCCAAAAAAGTTTAAATTGCCATCTCTAAGTGAAAAAGGTTCCTGGATGGGAAGCAAAATATCTTCAAACTTGGGAACAAAGTCCAGTGGATTGTTTTTTAACTTTTTTTAGAATGACTTTGACCTGGATGACTGAGAATCTTCACCAGCATATTGAAGGCGGGGAGTTTCAGACAGGGGAGGTCAACCTTAGGAGTTCAATAACAAAAAGATTTGTGGATTTCATCATCCATGTTTCACAACATCGTAATAAAGCCCAAAGAACATTGGAGTCTGTGTACCTCAGGGGCGGCGGCTTTAGGAGCAGATCCAATGGGATTTTAGAGCTATGTGTGGATTTAAGGTGGACTGAGGGCTGAAGGGGGGGACCGTCCTGAGGTCGGGGGATGAACAAAGCTTTGATGTCGAAGCTGAAGGGGAAAAGAGGGGCTTTGGTTGGAATCGGCTCCCAGTTTATAGAATGAGGGATGTTTAATGGTTCTTATGAGGCTTTCCGTGGGAAACTTTCTACCGTAGCTTCTGGCAGGAAACTAGGACTCACTTTAATTTCACAAACATCCTGGACGCTGTACATCTTTTATGGTAATCAGAGTAAAAATATCATCAACTTGATTTAGATTTCAGGACCCAGCGTTGAGCGATTTCCAAGCTAAGCTCAGCTTTGGGAGCCATCAGGATAGACGACTGCTTTCCACACTATTTGACCCCGCCATCTCTATATCAGGGGTTGGTCCTTTAATAATGGATGGAAATGTTTTTTTAAAGAGCTGCTGCCTGTGAAACAGGCTCCAGAGGAAGGACGAGTCGGTGTCAGCAGTGCAGTGATGGAGTTTTAAGGCGGTTCATGGATCCGCTGATGGAGCGTCGCTCCAGTGAGTGAAGGTCAGAGTGTGATAGAGGTCACTAACCTGTGCTCTGTAACTACTGGCACTAGTGATGCATACAGTTGGTGGAGATTTATCATTAGGCAAAACTAGGGGCCCCAATTTCCTGGGAGCCCGTAAAGAAATCCTTTTACACATATGGTTAAAACAACTATTCCTGTACTTATTTATGCACATTAATTAGGTTTTTGATTAAAATTGTTTCGCGAAAATGTCATCAGAACGCTTATGGTATTAAGTGTGTCTCAGCCCCCCCCCCTTCAGTGTCCACCATATTGGATCAGTCCATTTGCTGCACATGTTCAGAAAGGTCCAAACAGACAGCAGCAAACCATTTGAAAACAAACCATGCAAAGAGCAGTGTTGCCAACTTAG